GCTGCACAAAAGAGAAAAATCGGGGGAGGGAGGGAGGGAGGGAGATCCTTGGTGTCACACAGTCATCTTTAAGACTATAAGCCAAACAGCTGAGGCCCAAGCAAGGCAACCAAATAGCTACAAGATTTCAGACGCTAAAAATATAATTTGAGAACAATCATGTTTGAAAGTAAAGGGTTATGCTGGCTAAATTAAGAGTGTTAACATCCTGTTAGAGCATGGTTTTAATCACACAGTGTGAAACACAGATGCTATGGCAACAGGCAGTAAAGGGTTAACATAATGACAGACAACTATCAAATAAATGAAACTCAGTTCCTATGAAGCTGTTGCTAAATTAGACTTTAACCCATGAATACAAGGCGTTTTTATTAATAACTATATTTAAAATACTTTCTGCATACAATTTAAAGGGCCAAGCTTGATGGCCTACTATGATGGTTTCCAGTCTACAAACCCCTCCAAGCCAGTGTACTCCCACTAAGGGGTTTGCAGACAATAACTAAGTAAATCAAACCTGGTCTAACAGGCTTAAATTCACTCTAATGGGATTCATGTGCCCATGGGAAAAATACTGGGGGGATCCACAAACAACAAAATTTGAAAATTGCCATCTACTACATTCTACATGAGCAAAGGTTATGTTCAAATTTCAAGATATTTAGGAAATCCAAATTAATACCCTGAATCCCCTACAGAGAAGAGGAGAGCTTTTACTCAGATTTATAACCCTTTAACCAATTATGCTGGAGTGGTACCATTACTATGGAAAACTCTCCATGACCTATCACTTTTCAGCTACTGGATCCACACTGCCAGTAGCTGAAAAGTGATCCAGTACAATACACTTGAAAACAAAGCAAAAAGAAAAAAAAAAAAAGAAATAAAAACACCCCACAAAACAACACCAAAACAAAAACTCAAGCAAAAGTGATACCACAAAATGGAAGACGGCTCAGGAAGATGAGCCAATTGAAGTTTATGGACACTGATCCAAAGGGCTAAATTTGTAATGTAATCTACCTACTTATGAATTTTGAGCATGAAGTTCCTTTTATTTCATGCTTTCTCAGCAGCCACGTAGGTCTTCTGCTATGTTTCAGTACTCCTACCTAATGTGAGGAGGGGTGAATGTCACATTTGGAGTGGTTTATACTCTGCATTTTCTTCATTCCCAGTATGTTAAGTAGTGTCATTTGTTTAAAGAAATTACTCAGCTTTTCCCTAGCACTATTTAGCTTCCAACTAAAACAGTTTGCTTGCAAAGAATGTAGCCTGCAAAAGGCATGTAGCTTTTAAAAAGCTACTGTTTTCACCATGATTTATAATCCAGATCACTCCTTTGTTTTCCCCCACTGCATTCTTTGTCCAGTTAATTACAAAAGTAACTGGATGTTGGCACTAAATAATAATGGCTAATCATATTCATCCTGGGCAATTCAAATTACTCTTTAGTAGCCAGAAAACTTACAGTGCAATTATATGATTAACTGCTAGTTATATTAGAATAATGGCCATTTGCTACAAGCTGAATAAACCTCAGCTACATTGCTTCATACATGTCCTGCCTAATTGTGATATTAACAAGATCCAGTCCAGTCAAATCTTGGGGAGAAAGCATGCGTGCTTTTTCCCTGTGTCTGTCACTTGAACAAAACCCCACATTCCATTTCTGTCCCGAACGGCAAAAAAATCAGCAGAGCGCTGCTTATTATGCAACCTAGGAAAGTGAGTGATAACACCACACCTTGACAAAGCACCAAAAAACACATGAAATTCTTCAGCTTGGCTGAATTTGCTTTACTTAGATGGAACAAAGATGGCAGAAATTTCCAGAAGGCCTTTCTCAGCCCTGCCACTGCAATTGTCAATCTTTAACCTGCCTGCTGCAGCAATTGGCTCCGGCGCTGGCGGAGCGGCGCGATTGGGCTGAGCTGAAACACAGCGCTGCTGCCCCTACCTTGCCTCAGACATCTTGCTGCAATGCAGACATTTGTTTTTTTGTGAACTATAAAAGAATTGCATCCGAGTGATTAAAAATAGTGAACTTTTAACAGGCCGGCGACGCTCCGGTCCATTACACGCGCGAGGGCAGCTCAGACAAATGTGCTTCACTGTCAGCGGCGTGTCTGGAGGTGCAGATTTGAAACAGATCCTGGTTTAACAAAACCTGGGGGAGCCATTTTAACACAGGCTTTCTGATTGCAGATCACTCGCTCCTGCTTCCTCATATTAAACGAATATTACGTTGTTCACTCTTCGAGACTGAAAGTAAACTGCTAAACGTGTATAAACTGCTGTCAGGAAAATCACGTCCAAATGTAATTTTTGGTCATTTGGCAAGGGAAGAACAAAAACCAGAATAACTTCTTAGCTGTGTCAGCACTTTTGAGTATGCTGAAAAATGCACTAAAATTGCACACAAAAATGCTATCACATGAAATCCATTGGTACCCCAGCAGTGTTTCAGGTTGCAAAGTGAACAAGACATTTTTATAATCTAATCCTGGGGGATGGGGGAAGGGGATAGCGGGGGGGAGAGGGGGGGGGAAGCTGTTAATCAAAGTAAGACAGTCAAAGTAAAATACTCATACTGGTAAACAAGTAATTTGCTATGTTATAGAATGTTATCAAATCCATGGCAAGGGTCTAGGAAAGTCAGCATGTACTGTGGCTCAGTGCAGTCATCTGCAAAGCTAGCCTAGCTCTCAGCTCTTCCCTAAAATCATGGATGTGTGTGTGGACTGCTAAAACAAGTGCAAAAATCACATTAAAAGCACAAAAGCGCATCCTTCCTCTGCTTTTGTAACAGCCCTGGTGATCACTGAAAAACAGCTTGCTCAAACAAGCATGCAAGCGTTACGATTAAATTCTTCAAAAAGGGCACAAAATGTTCTAAATTAGCTATAAATCGAGCAAGTTTGTCTGAGATTACACTTCGTATAGTATCAGAAACATATGCTCATTAAGCATTATTTACTTTACTTCATAAGGTCACTTCGTTGCTGAGCACTAGCACTTTCATCACACTGAAAAGCCCAAGGAACGGCGAAAATGCGCTTTACCCTGCAAACATGGTAATTAATGATCTATGACCAAACAGCAAGTACAATATTTTTCACTGGCCTGAGGTAAACAGGAAGTAAAAGCTTCAAAATTTAGAGACAAATTATTAAAAAACCAGTGCATTCAAATAGAAGAGCTTACATGTACAAGTCCCTTAAAATGGATGCTAAGCAAATCTGATTTTTTATATGACTAACCACTAACGTTACTTCATCTACTGCACTAACTGACCCAGTAAAAACAAAATGTTTGGAAAACTATTAAAAATGTTCAGAGAGTAGCATGCTGCTTACTTACCAACTGTTCAAGCACTCATCTCATTTTTCCAGTTAAGAAGATACAACAGGCTGGCAGATTTGAGAATTGATCAAAAAGGCATTTCTTGAAACAATTACGTAGCATTAAACCAAAAGTTTTAAAAAAAAAAAGAAAAAGGAAAAAAAAAAACAAGAAAGAACAACATGTACTACTGTCATGAACCACACATGATTTTATATCTTCTGGACTCCACAACACAGAACTGTGGCTGACACAATATAAAACAAAAAGGCACAGATAAAAGGTACATTAGTTTATTTGAACTATGTAAAACGAGAAGGCTAACAGTTCAAAAGCATTTTCCATAAAGCATCAGATTTGTAAACAGATGCACTGCTGCATTTTACTGAGCAGCACCCCATTCCCAAAATCTGCAGCATAAAAACTCCCTTTTAAAGGAACAAAATATTAACCATACATTGTCCTTCTGAAAGAGAAACGCGTTGCATTAATTACTCCTGCAAGAGAAAAGGTTCAATAATCATTTTAAGTTAAGATAAGCTGCATAAAAAACATGATGCAACAGCACACCACCACCTAGGCCCAATATCTACAATCTGCCATTAGCACTTTTTGCTGATGTCTAGGTTTTCAAAAATCCCATATTTTCTCAGAGATAACTTATCTTAGCTGTTCCATTCACTGTTTAGAAAGGTAAACTTGCCTGTTCTTCTGTCTGCCATTATCCCTGCTTGACTCCCTGTAGGGCAGTTAAATGCATCTGCTCCCTAGCTTCCATTTTCTCTCCAGCAGGCATGTGACACAACAGACAATAGTGCTGGCAAACTGCTCAGAGACAGAAAGCTCCTTTGGAATACCAGGATCTTGATAAACTCTAAAAACACCATCCTCCTGTGAAGAACTAGGTATGCCAAGGCTTTGCCAGACTGTAAAACAAAGCTGTGGCTAATGGCTACTAACCATGTGACCCAAGAAAGCAAAAATTTTAAACAGTTCCAACTCAATATAAGTGCCTGTGGTGTGAGTTTTGCACGAGAAATCACAGAGAACCACGCTCTCAACCCACAACTCATAGGCCTTAGAGAAAAAGCAAGGTAAAAAGCAAGGCTTACCTCTGTGGATGCATTGTTAACACAGTGTTATGTCAATACTTATAAAACATGGAGGACAGGCTCTCAGTACTCGGGCAGGGAGGGCTTGGCACTCCGGCTTGATCATCTGTCTGCCGCATGAGAGCCGCGCCCGGATTGGCCGCCGCGGCGAATCCGAATGTAAAGCGGCGGGGGATTGGCCGAGACACTTCCTGAGCGATTATCTTTGTGCGGCTCCCGGAGCAGGAGCCATCCCGGGCGCGGGGCAAGGCCGGCGCGCTAGGCCCGGCCCGGCCCGGCACAGCCGCCGACACCCCGGGCCGCCCTCCCCGCCGCCGCCACACCGACTGCCCGGCACGGGCGAGCGGGCCCACACTGCCTGCCCCAGCAGATGTGCCTCAAACACGCCGTTACTTGAAGGCGTTCTAAACCTGGAGGAGGGAAAGAGTTCGCCCCGGCTCGCCAAAAGGAAAAAAAAAAAAAAAAAAAAAAAAAAAAAAAGCCGCCCTTTTGTTCGGCGCTGAGTTCGCTTTGCTGGTGCCCTCACGTCAGAGCAACACTTACCCGAAAGTGAACATGCTCAGCGGGGACTGAAATTAATGGGCTCGGAATTCAGAGAAGAGTTCTCCTGTTCCAGAATTTAAATATATTAACATGTGCCGCTGCGACCGCGTACCTACACTGTGATTTCTCTAGATAAGCTGAGCCTTGGTGGGGGAAAACGAGCCCTCAGACAGGAAAAATTCACGTCTCGTTTCCCCCCAGAAAAGCTGCCGTGGAATAGAAATCGCTTTGTCACGGAGGAGCTGCTGCCACTCGGCGCGTGCCCTTCCCCGTGTTTAAAACGCTGCGGAGCCAAAACCAAAAATATCGATGTCAGCCCAGACACCGAGACCCCCCGGCCCCCTCCGGCCCGCTCCAGGCTGTTACACAAAAACTGACTTCCTTAGGAGCGGCTGCAACCGCAGCTTCCTGTCCGTTAACCCTCTAGGACTTGGTGGCTTTTTAAGGTTCCACGCAGGCCCTAAAAACAGAGATTTCTCTGCGTGGCAGCTTATCTGTCTGCCCCCACAAAAACACGGCGTTTCAGGTGTTTTTGCCCTGCCTTTTTACCTTCTACTAAAATGCTGCAAATGAAACAGAGTGAGGAAACGGCGTGTAAGCCACCGGTTTGATTTTGGGCCAATTCCCAAGCTTTTAATTAAAAAGTGTGATTCCGTTCTGTTCCCTGATGCAGTGAAAGTGAGAGGATTTATCACTATGCCAGAAAGGTAGAAACTCTTAACTCCAGATGAAGATTTTAAAGGTTAAATCTTTAGAAAGGGCCTTCACATTATTCTTCAGTATTTTGCATCTGTATTATATAGCTCAGTATTATCATTCTATAGCCATGAACAGATTACAGTGGAAACCACAGATGAAAAGGTGATTCTGAAGCATATTGAGTATCATCAAAGGGTTATTTATTAAACAAAAAACAAATGAAGTTGTAGAGGGAGAAGCTTAATATTGGAACAATAATTATTAAATAATGAGCTAAAATAACCAAAGCAAAATAAACATTCTTCCAACACAGCATGCAGGATTGTGCAAAACCGACTATAGAAAACTCTCTTACATAAATCTACGACAAGACTGCAGACAGAATGTACACTTTGCTCTACCTTTAATCCAGTGCTAATGATCCCAGAAACAATCACTGCAAATAAAACTAATGCCCTCCCTTACCTCCATACAGCTCCTTTCATGATATAACTACTTTACCACACAAACCTCTCTGCTTGAGAGCCGACATGACTCACAACTGTGCCACTCAGTAAAATTAATCATCCTACTCTGCATTGTCCCATAGTGCATTCAGATTATTTCTTGAGATAGCATTGTCATAGGGAAACTGCCAAACCAGCCTATCCCTGTGCTTACAGCTTTTGTGTTTCTGCATTTTAGGCTGCAACAGCGGATTAACAGCCCAGAGTATAAATTATCATCTCATAAGTAATTCTGGAGTCCCTGCTGGAAGCATTTTCTCTTTTTAGATTTGGCAACGCTTTTCAGGGCAGGGAGCAGGAAGCCTCATGGATTACACTGGCCGTTTGTTCTGATTTAGGAATGTAGCAGAAACTAGGGAGAGTGCTGCTATAAAGGGAGTCATACAGCCCACTACAGCAGCAGGAACACACTGCAAATTCATGACATTCAGTGCATACTTGCATCAGTTTTAATAGTTCAAACCATTCAAGACAGGTTTCTTTTTAATTGCACACCTAAAGGCCTGTGCTGCTCGGAGTTATCACCCCCAACACACAAACATCCACATTTGATTCCTCCTGGCAGTAATTGTGAGGATTGTCAGTCATTAACATTTATGCTCATTGTTTGACTGCTCTATTCTAACATTATTCTATTAAAAAAAAAAAAAAAATCCTAATCCCTATGAAGTTCAGGACGAGAACAAAACTAAATACACAGAATTTGTCAGTGCTTTGTTGCTAACCCAGCCCCGACTCCGGGAATGCTGTAATGCTGATGGTGCCTGGGAACGCTGCCAAGCTGACACACTTGGGCCTATCAAGCAGAATGAGCACACAGCAGAGAGGGAGAGGCAGCAGCAGCCTTAGGAAAGGCCTGAGGTCCCCAGTCCTCTTGATTCGAGGAAATGGTGGCCCAAGTACAAAAGAAAAATTTACAAACCTTCAGTCATTAGCAAGAACAAAACACCAGAAAGCACATCGGGCATATAGAGTATGTGTGTTCAGCCACTCGGCTGCTCTGCTAAAATAGACAAAAGAATTCTGTCAGCAGTCAAAGGGGAAGCTTGAAATTCTGTTTATTCTCTTGTCCACACACTTATTTTGCAGCAGGAGATACAACTGGAAAATACAGATTTTTGTGTTAAGTCACCATGATTGCATGTCCTGCTGCAGCTTGACCAATTCTTTTACGTAGGAGTAGTGAAGGGAAAGAAAGGTAGAGAGAACAGAAAAGAGAGAGAGGTGAAGCTAAAAGCTTTATTAAAGCAGAAGAGAGGGTATAGATTAGATTAGCTTCTATTTATTCTTTTCAGTGCTTTGGAGATGTTAAGGGAAAACAGGGCTGTGAAGCAGGGGAAAAAAAGGCTGAAAAGAGAAACCAAAGGAAAGACAGAAAGCACAAATTCAGTCAGAAGGAAATTAAAACACAGCAATGTGAGAAGTACTACCCACTATATTTAGAGTTCTTTGGAAAGAACTCTGCCTGCTGTGCAGCATTTCCAGAAAGCACACACACACACTTCGAGCACCACAGTGTCAGAGGGGACTGTACTACAGAATATATACTGAAAGCCTCCAAAATTAAGCAAATGCCAGTAAGGAAGAGGTCTGGCTCTATGACAGAAATGAGGGGTTGATATGTACCCCTCCCTGCAGGGGGTGAATCATCACTGAGAGAGGGAACAGAAGGTGATGGACAAAAGACAGAGCATTTTGAATAGATACACAAAAGGAAATGGGAAACGTCATACTTTCCGAGGATAAAAATAAATAAATAAAAACAGGGGAAAGAAGCTGCGTTAAGTGTTTGTAGCTTGCTCATGAATTTCCAAGTCATTGGCTGATAACCCTAATTTCTAGAGTAAGAACATGAAATACTGTGATTCAGTGTCTTCCAAGAGCTTTTTTCTATTTTTCCCCTTTTATCCTGAATCAGATAAAGTATCAGTAACTGCTTAAAGACCAGAAGACTGATGTCTGGTACAGAATGCAACAATAAATTTCTATAAAGACAGCTCCCAAATTTTTAAGTCGCCTGGATGCTAAAATTAGTGACCTGTCAAAGAAGGTTGGTAATTTTGTAAATTATCAAAAACTACTGGAAAAGGTGTCTGTGCACAGCAGGCAGCTGATTTGCCCATGAGCTTAAAAGACTTCATAGCCACATGCATGCACTGGTCCTTCTGAACAGCAGCCTTGAGTACTTTTTGGTTGACATTACTTGTTCTGGATTACAATGGTCACTCATTGTCTGCAGATTAAAAGCTGATTTGGTTTGTGCTGTACAAACTGAATATCTGGTACCTTATGAAAGTTTCTCTTGACAGCCATTTTTAGTGTGCTGTGCGATTGCCTCGTGTAGGTTTCCTTCTAAAGGAAATCTCCATTCATGTTCAATCATCTGCCAAAAATACCTGGGGAAAGAAAAAAAGGAAAGCATCTTTGAGCCCTTTAACAGCTGCAGCTTTTTAAAAGAGGTGCTACAGCCGATGTTATCCTAAGGCATGAGCCCACATATTTCATCGCTTTCCCCCCCACTTTGAACCAGCCTCTCCAGGATTCAACAGCTGGGCTGTTGAATATCCTGTATAAAACAGGATTTTCGTTATTATATATCTAAATTATACGTTCTGTATTAAAGGCCTAGCAGATCTAATTTCTTTCATGTTTCATGTGCAGGCAAATACTTTTTCAGTTCCCCAGAAAGCAGCTGTGAGGCACATGCAGACATTCTGCACGTCAGGCCTAAAGGACACCCACCACGCAGGTGAACAGCACCTGTGTAGCAAGTGGATTTATCACCCCTACTCTGTGAGAACACGAGTCCAGCTCACTGCTCATGGAAGCCCTGTGGCCATGAGAATGTGAATATCCTGCACCAGACCAGGGTACAGAATCCTGAGAGAAGTCTGTGCTTCCCCAAGGGATTCTAATGCCCAAGTGTGAGACATCTCATATATAGCACTTACTGTGGCATAGGATCCTTCCCAAGGAAACAAAAGAAAGTCACTGCTGTTAGAGAGGAATTATTTAGGACTAGGCTCAGATAATGCTAAACTCTAATCCTACTACTACGATTTCTTTTTCTCTTCCAATATTTCCACATTCAGGAATTGGTTAACAGTAATCAGGTACATGATTTTTTTTTCTTGTTTTGGTTTGTCGTCACTGTTTGTTTTTTTAATAAAATCTGATGATCTCCCAGAAGGCTTCCTCAGCTGAAGGTCATGCTAAATATGTGAAGTGATGGAGTTACAAAAATAAAGTTACGCATGCATGTAAAAATAAAGTTATTACAGTAATTTTTCCTCTCCTAGGCTTCTATCTTATCACAACCTACTGCAAATTCAGACTGTCACACTCACTTTTAATGTCTTTCATGCTCCTCCACACGCTAAATTTGCAGTTTGGCTTCAGCTTTAAGGCCCTGCATACTCACACCTTTCTCGCCCCTATCTGCTACTCCAACTGCTATTTCACCTCATTTTTGTGGTTTGCCTCTCACCTCTTTCTTTTTCCACCACAAGTGTGCAGTGCAATCACTTTCAAAAAGACTTCACCCATAGTTTCACCCATAGTTTCACCAGCTTGTTGTTTTTTTTTTTAGTTTTCAGTCAGATGTACTGGCTTAAGCATCTCACCCTTCCTTCCAGCCACAGCTCTCAGCTCAGTCCACTTCTACCAGAACTATCTGTATGGTGACATGGAGAACAGGATCAGGGAATCAAAGATTTACTGTGATAACTTTGACCAGGAAAGGCTCCAGTTCACACTTGTTCACAATCCTGCTGCAGTAACAGTTGTAGTGGCACGACTGAGAGCAGGCACGAGCAGCTCCAGGTGATTTAAACAATCACTACCACCACCAGAAGTTTCTGTGATATTATGTGGTCAAACACTGCACCCACATTTTCATCACATTTGTGTTATTAACTAGTTTTTCCTCCTGTCCAAATGGCAGTGTAGATCTGTCCTTGTCTCTTCAACCTTCTGAAAGGACAGGGAAAAAAAAAAAGCCTTTGAAAGAGAATCAGGTCCCTGAAAAGAAGCAACACGTTTTCCAGCTGTGGCCTTGCCTTCCAAAGCCAGGTGACAGCCTGGCCTGTAATCAGCACACTTCACTCACATTAGGTAACATTTGCATAAACTGTTGA